TATATATATATATATTGTATATTACAGTGAAGATGGAACCAACATCCAGAATATCACAAAGACTTTTCAGGAGGGAATGTGACTGCAAAGTCTGCCAACAGGACTGTAATGGTCCCTACAGAAGCCCCTCCTCAGGCACTGATGGTCCGATCCGGTGCGATGACAGATGTATTGACCGTCTGATAAAGGCTTCAATCAAACACCTCACCACAGGGCCACTCAAGTATCTAAAACAAACTCCAGCTGATGGGAGCGAGTGTGTGTGTGAACACTGTTTGTGTGGCTGCTCTCTAACCTGGGAACAGGTGTGTGTAATCAGAGTTGGGTTAGAGTGAGCAGATTGTCCACTAATGTGACCAGCTCTCTACGTTTCTGAGAAATGGCATGGAGGAGGAAGACTGAATCTGGAGGTTTGTGCCAGGCGCTGCTGCAGGCGTGTGTAGGTGTGTGTGTGTGTGTTTGTGTGGGACGGACGGAGTTTGTCAGAACACCTCCTCACCTGTACGGGAACCATACGATGGCGCTTCAGTGCCCCCTTCTGGTGGAATCTGACGAAGCAGCCCACACAATAATCCTCTCCACATTCCGCACACATCTGAAACAGATCAAAAACAATTAAATAAACTCAGCATGCGTACAGCAAGGCATATTCACCCCAAAAACTTTAATATAGCAATATATATTTAAATATATTGCACTTTTTGCTCAACACGATACATATTAAAATGGAGAGAAGGGAGTTGCACGTATCTTAAGGGAGCTCATTATTTTGTTACCGATTGTAAATGAGTGCGGAGGGCGATAGGAGAGCCCGTTTGATGGACAGACAGGTAGAAAGACAGACGGAATAGCAGCACAGGAATTTAAAGAAAGGTCTATCAAACCCGCAGCTGAAGAGCAACTTGTAAATGAATCCAGCCTGCTGTCTTGATTAATTCGGTCTGAACGTTTGCATGTCTTCTCTGTATGATGATGCAGCACTTCAGCTTGAGAGATGCATGATGCTTGGAAGAGTTTGTATTTCTAAGAACAGACTTTGGATAGGTTTGGAATAATATTTCTGTAGTCTATATGAACATTTTTGCACAGTAGGTGTATGTTTGAATTGAATATCCATTTAGCCTCTGACATTTGGCAAAATGTGGATGCAAAGCACACTGCATGCAATACTGTATCCCACAATGAAGTGTGAACCAGAAGCTTCCTTTTTCCTTATTAGACTTTTTCACTTAAGACTTATTTTCCACAAAATTAAACATTAAACAACAACAATGCAGAATGCTATAGTCAGTGTTGTTATTGTTAACTAAAACTAAAATTTAGTGGATTTTACTAAAACTTAAAAATAAAAATAAAAAAAAGAATAAATGAAAGCTAAATAGAAATATATAAAATGAATACAAATGACCAAACCACTAGGGTTGGGCGATGTCTACAAAATTGGCATCGGACGATGTGTACAGTGAAACATCGCAATGGATGATGACATCGGGGGAGGGGGGGTTATGGGGTGTGCCCGAAGCATGAATCCATATTTAGATAGGCACGGAAAACAAATAACAATTGCTAACGGTTCACTGTTATATTACAATACATAAAATTTCACTTACAACATAGAGTAAGGGGAGATGATTGAGGACGATGGCGAATGATTTGCAGATGAGCACCACTGACAAACATCTAATCTTGTAAAATGTGTGGTAAGTACTGCCGCTCCATAGTATAAACAGAGTAGTGCGATCGCAAATCTCGAAAGTGAAAGTGAAACTAAAAAGCGATCGCACATTCAAAAGCAGTTTCAATGCCAGGCATAATAGAGGCGCCCGCAATTTATATACAGTATAATTGCCCAATGATATAACGAGAGAAAATACGGAAATATTTATTTTCCTCCCATTGCGTATTTATTCCCTTTAGGTGTTCCGTATTACACGTCATTTTCTTTCGGAACACGGTATTGGGAAGCGGCGGATTGCGGGGGGTATGGGGGGGGATCGCGATGCCGGCTCAACATCGTGATGTCTATCAGCCATCGGCGATGGACAATGGCATCGTCTATCGGCCCAACCCTACAAAGCACACAAAATTATAACTAAATATTAGATGAAAAACTTTAAGTACTAAAATGACTAAAACTTTTTAAAAACAAATTAAAAAACTAGAAACAAATTAAGATAAAAAGAACTATGCAGATGAAAAATTACTTCTAAAATTAAAATTAAAATATAAAAATGAAAGCTCATCCAAAATATTACTACTAAAACAACACTGACTATAGTCTGAAATAGCTTTGCAACTTAAAATAGATGGAAACATACTCTAGCATACAACTCATAATATTTCTGCCAGACAAAGATAAACAACATAAAGGTGGTATGTGGTAGGCAGTATCCAGTGTATACTAGGCATTTTGCAGTAAACAGTACAGTACATTCTATCCTGAACAAAACAACAGCTTTCAGCTCAACTTTAGCTCCTGTGGCTTCCTCTAGGGTTGTGTGAGTAAGCACGGAGGAAACCCTTAGGAAGCCTTGGCTCTACACATCCGTAAATACATCGAGACAGACACACACACACCGAACATTCGCTTTAACACACTTGCTGTCTTTGACAGCCAAATGCCGATGTGCAAATTCCACAGGTACATTTCCCCTCGAGACTGTCTGTCTCAAAGCACTCAAGTCCCCTCTCACACACTCGAGCAGCACATGAAAGTCCCAAATCTCCCAAGAGTGACAGGGTCCCCTTTAATACGGCCACACAAACACGCACACACACACACACACACACACACACACTCACGGTGAATAAAGAAAAGGGTAAATACAGTGCTGCTCTGTGAATCTACAGCTGTGCCCATTACCGGCTCCTTTAATGGCCACATAAAAAAAGGTCTCATTTTAGCACGACACCGCTGAAATAAATTACAGCAGCGGCATTCTTCCCAAACTGATTTTTAAGAGGGTTTCCGGACTACAGAATCTGCAGTTCATGTCTTCTTTGCTATAGGATGAGTAGGAATATATTTGCAGCACTGCATTTAGCAGCAGTTCAATCTACTGCTGCCAGTCATAGCTCAAAGTAAAACCGTCAGGAGCTAAGAGAGCTCTTTTATTCGAACTGATGGAGGATAACAAACCCTTGTGTCATGCACTTTAGTCTTGAAGAGCCAGACTTTGACTATCGGTATGAAGTCTGGTTCACACTGCAGCTTATGGCGCTTTTCCACTGCGTGGTACGACTCGGCTCGGTACGGCTCAGTACGGCACGGCACGGTTCGCAGTGTGGGAAAAAAATTATAAATGAAGTGTCATGGCAGTCTTGTGCAGAAAGATCTGTATGAATGGTTGTATGTGCAGAAATGATACGTTCATAGAAAAAAATGGAATATACTGTTTCTCAAGGATATCTTGTTTACTTGCTACAAAGTTGCTCAAAGAAAACTACTGCATGTCTTTTAAAGTTAAAGCACCCTGAACTTTGCAAACTTCTGCAAATACTCTGATTAGCTTCCCCAGAAACACGCATACAAAAAAAGTTTAAAAGTTAGGGTTCAGTAACATGTTTTTGGAAAGCAATTCATGCTTTTATTCAGCAAGAATGCATAAATTGATCACAAAAGTGACAGTTAAAGACAAGTTCTTTCATGAAACTCTAGATGGCACAGGCTGATGGGTTCTTAACGTAACTGATGATATTCACAGCGTTAAACAACTTGGCACAAGCTGATTGGTTCATGTTTACATTTAAATGGCTGATTAGCATTCACTTGAGCATTTTGCAGTGCGTTTTCAGAGTTCCTTCTGAAACCCTCCACCTTCCCCAGCTCCACCTGTATAGATCTGCTACGCGTTTTTTTATATGCCATTTGTGCAGCAGCAGTATGTCTTAAATACTCACAGCACTATATCACCATATGCATTGTCAGTAGCAAGCTCCTGTACTTGCTTGCAGCAGCAATAATCTACAAATACAGCAATAACTAGCAGCAATTTAGCAGCAGCGTAGCAGATCTCTTCCGCCAAGACCAAATACATTAACATTGTCATATCCATTACCATGCTAAAATCTTCTGAGTTGATAGAAATGCTATTCTTTTGAACTTCCTATTCTAAAAATGTTTCACGGTTTCCACATTGTTTTCACATTGATAATAAGAATTGTTTCTTGAGCAGCAATTCATCATATAAGAATGATTTCTGAGGGATCATGTGACACTGAAGACTGAAGTAATGATTCTGAAAATTCAGCTTTGTGTCACAGGAATACATTTAATTTTAAAATGCATACAAATAAATACACTGTTATTTTAAATAGCAATAATTTTCACAATTTTACTGCTTTTGATCAAATAAATGCAACCTTGATGAGTAACAGAGAGTTTCAAAAACACAAAAAAATTATACCAACCTCTTTTTAGGGGTAGTGTATACCTGAGACATGATGCATGATGAATGAAAGGGATGGACAGTTTGGAATTAAGAATAGTTCTGTTCACATAACAGAACGGATGAAAACTCACCAGTCCAGCCAGTTGAACTTCACACTGTCCACAGACTTTTCCCCTCAGGTTGAGCTTCCTGTTAGTGCCATGTACCTTGGCGGCTGGTTCCGCTATTACCTGCTTCTGTTCTGCTGCAGTTATACAAACACACACACAATTCAGAACTCTACACATGATTTCTATTCCACAATTTAGTGAGCTACCTCATCAACTGCCTACATAGGACGGTACCTTTAGGAATGTTCTCCATTGGCAGCGACTCTTTTAACTGTTCATCATGTGCATAACACAAATAGTACTCAACCTGTGAGACTCAACAGTCACAGTAGATTCCAACAGAGCTGGTCCATAGCATGCGTTAGAAGATAATGACTTAATATGGGAGCATATCTAGACTACTGTTCAGTAGTTTAGTTCAAATACTTTGTCATGTGTTTATTATGTGCCACATAAATCTGGGGAGCACAAAACCCTGCATGAATGTTCTTAAAAAACAAATATTTGATTTTTAATTAGATGGAGCTAATTTTCAGAGAATGAATTTTAAATTGAGTTATTTTTCTTACCACACTAGCAAATTGTGTTTTTTTCTTGGACAAATCAATGGACAAATCTCACTCTAGTTTGTCTAATTTCTGTTTAAAACAAGATCAATTTGCGAATGGGGTAAAAAAAAATAATAATAATTCAATATATGTTCTCTGAAAACAAATCTTATCTTACTCATTGTGTTGCTTCTCAAGTAAATTTATCTTGTTATAAGGACGCTTACTAGAAAATAAGTCAAAAATAATGACCAAGAAAAGTGTCTGCCTGAACGATATAATTTCGCAAGAAGTAAAGAGGTAACCGTGCTCTTGAAATGTCTTTTTCTCTTATGTCGGTTGTAAAACTGTTCTGGATGGCCGCCTGAAAAATTCTAAAAAAATAAAATAAAAAAAAATTATTCAGGAACCAAAATCCCAGAGGAATGTGTAGTTGGTGACAGGGTCATGTGACTTTACCGCTGAAATGCTTCAGCTCAGTGTGTTCACATAAAAACAGGTTCACATGCTCAGAGGAAGCAGGGTACGCACTCGTATTTGAGTTTTTACTAGTTACTAATTTACTAATTTGTCAAAGCAACTTACCGTATACTAATTAGAGACAGCCCCCTTTGAACCATCTTAAGGTTAAGTGTCTTGCTGTGGGACACGACAGTTAAAGTTATTTAAATGCTAGGGTAAATCAAGGCAAAATTATAAAGTGGCCCCAAAAGTATCTAGACATTTAAGCCACACTTAAAATGGAAAATTATTCTAGAATTAGAGTGCTATAGCAAAGTTATTTATTATTTTGTTCAAATGTTCACGGTTGGTAGGAGTTTTTAATGTTTTTAAAGTGTTTTATACTCACAAAAGCTGCATTTTTTTATTAAATATACAGTAAAACACTAATATTGTGAAATATTATTAGAATTTAAAATAATTATTTATTCATTGAATATTTATTAAAATGTCATTTATTCCTGTGATACAAAGCTGAATTTTCAGCATCATTACTCCGGTCTTCAGTGTCACATGATCCTCAAGAAAAATGTCTTGAATATTTTTGTGGAAACCATGATAAATTTTTTCAGGATTTCGATTAATAGAAAGTTCAAAAGAACAGCATTTATTCGAAATTATTTTTCTGTAACAATAATATGTTTACTGTCACTTTTAATGCATTGTTGCTGATTTAAACTATTGTTTTCTTTTT